AGCACCCGCTATTATTATTAGTAGTAGTAGTAGTATTAAGACAAGGGGGACGAAGGAGGAAATAATATGAACAAACTCGTAGCAAAGAAAATGGAGTGAAGACGAATATGAAGAATAAGACGAAGAAGAAAACGAAGAAGAAGATGAAGAAAACGAGAATGGCGAAAAAGATGAAGTAGAAGAAGAAGAAGAAGAAGAAAATGGATAAGAATAAGAAGAAATGGGGGAGAAGGGGGAGGAGGAGAGAGGAGAGAAGAATGAGAAGACAAAAATTAAATAGGAAAGAGACAAAAATGAAAGAGGGTAATAAGCAAAACGTAGTTAAATTCTACGTCGATTGCCACTTCCAAACAGGCACAATCTTCTTCAAACTCTAGAAGAAGAAATCAATTTATATGGTGTCATTTTCAAAGTATCATGCTTGTTAATAAAAAGGTAGGATCCCATTGAAGAAATCTATCTAATAAAATAAAATCAAATCAAATATACACAGGCTATGAAGACTCCACCATTTTCGTCTCTGAAGCAAGACGATATAAGCCCATATTACCATGTCATGGTGACATGTTCATTGTTTGGATATCGCCATTGTTTAAAGCAGGTCAATTAATATTTTAAAAAATCAATAAAATTGTGTCAAGCTTGAAATTATCATAAATGGTTCAGGACATATTTACAGCAGCATGATATTTGATATTTGAATACATCACAATCAAATGTTATTACTTGTACTGTTCTGTGAAGGACAGCGCTGTTATTAAGTAGCTATCTATTGCTCTACAAAATCACCATGACTCATGTATTTCGTCCTCCTTTTCTGTTTTTATATTCTAATTTTGTCTGTCTATATTTCCATATCTTTCTTTTCAAAGAATTATGAAGTTTGAATCGCCTTTACAAAAAATTAATGAGCAGTAGGAAATGTTCATGAAGCGTGGAGAACTTATTATTATGGGAGGAGTAACAAATACTGAATGCTAATATAGATTTAAGCAGAGAGAGAGAGAGAGAAAGAGAGAGAGAGAAGGTTATATAAAATAAAATTATAATACAGGGACAGAGAAAGAGATAGGAGAAAATGAGAGAAGGAGGGAGAGATTGGGGAAGTAGGCAAACGATGAGAGAGAGAAAGAGAGAGAGGGAGGGAGGGAGGGAGAGAGGGAGAGAGAGAGAGAGGGAGGAAGGGAGAGAGAGAGAGAGAGAGAGAGACAAAGGGGGGGGGGGTACATAGAGAGGTGTTTTGATAGACAGGTGCAATAATATCTCTGCGATATGATATGCCTGTCGCCTGGTCGGTGTCGTATACCTCAGATTGCCAATGAATCTGATATCTAAATGCTGGTATGTTGTTTTAAGTCAAAGCTCGTTTGTCTACCGGCAGGCACCACAGATTGCGATATAAACTATTTAACAGTTAATCCTGACTGGTTTGTCGCGTAGTACACGTGTTTCTCACCTCAGAATTTCAGCATATAACTCTATGACATACAGTCTTAAACGCAACAACTACAAGACTTATGTACAAAAATTAAGTTGCTTTGACAACATTACTGCTCCAGAATCTATTTTGTCGAGTCAGGTCTTAGGCTATGCGTAGAACTAGTGTGAAGATGAGTTTTTTTTGCACAGGGTTGTAGTTTGGGATTGGGTTAGCTAAGAAATTTACCGCGGAGCGATTACTATTTTCCGATTTTTTTTCTATATATATTGTATCCGTAAGTTGCGAGTATTTGAGGAGGTGCAAAAAAGATATTTTTAAAAATATCATTTAGAAGCGAACGCCAACGCTATGCTATGTTGGATACGCCACTTTTATACAAATTTAGCCCCATTTCGCTGACACAGGGCTGCGTCAGCACCCTCCCCCGGACTGTGTCAGCCCTTTTGGTGCCCCGTGTGAGAGTTACATTGTAAGCAAGTTCAATGCAAAGTACAGTGCAATCGTTGCGTTTGATTACTAGGCTTACTTCATAAATATTTGTTCACTGGTAAACTGTTTTCCTCAACGCCTCGTGTGCAATGGGCGTAGAAAAACATGACCGCAAGTCCCGCAATAATCTACAAAATATCTTTGTAGATAATTTTGAAACTTTCTTTTACTCACTAGGTGTATCTTTTTTATTCTTCCTGTCCATCAAACTTCCGATCGCGTGCCAAGGCCCCCAAACCCCTTCCCCTCAAAGTGAAATACTACCTTGACGTCGTAAAACAAAGAACTTGCCCCCGATGTGAATGACGCCAGCCATTAAGATTGATTGCCTAGTTTGGTCACGTGATTTTCTCGTGGCGTCAGTTGTCTGAGCTTCAGTCACTCCCGTAAGTGGCGGATCCAAAGGGGAGAGGGGTAGGGTGGGGTCGCAGGAGGAGAGTTCTTTTTTTTTTGTGGTTTTCGACCCCCCCCCCCCCTACTCAGTGTTATTTAGGGTACGCGTATGCATGTTCCCTCCCTTTGAAAGCACCCCCCTAAGTCAGGTGTGTAAAGTCAATACGGGCCGATTTTTTGTGCGTATACGAGCCGGACTTTGGTTACGTGAAAAGTACCCCTTTTCCGGATATTTTTGGAACATAAATGCGGTCCCTCCTTTCCCGGAGTGGGTGTGGGGGTGGGGGGGGGGGGCGGGTTTTAGACCAACTCCCATTATCCGTACCGGGATCTACTGTACGCCCCTCGACCTAGACCTCAAAATGTTACTGCAAAAGTCTAGCGCCCCGGAGACAATGGGCCCTACTCCCTAATGTACCTAATGTGGTCCGTTGCGGTCTTGAGGGCGATTTAATTTTTTTTTTTTGGGGGGGGGGATGGGGGATTACAACGATCTGACATCCATGGAGCGAGATAGACGCCTTGGGTGATCTGCTTCGTTCTTCTTATATCTGATTCATTCTTATTCGTTCTTGATAATTCTATGTCCCATTTGCACCTAAAAGCAAATTCTGTAGCAAGGAAACCCGTTTACTATCCAGACTTCTCTGTCAGACACTATGGAGTGACCGACTGACTTTTTTCCATTAGTAATAACATTACATAAAAAATGACCTGTAAAGGAACATGAGCATTTGTCTACATCAATAACCCACTTCCTGTAATGGCAAAAATTATAAACTGATTGACTTTTTACGCAACACAAAACGTACGACCATTCGGTACAAGAGTCTGAAAATCAGACTATTACTATTATGATTGCAATCACTAAAGTCGATTCGACAAGTAATGCTCGTTATCTTCCCACTAAAAGCTATTTTCAAGCCCTTTCGTTTGAGGGAAGTTCTAAATCAATTTTATCTCTCAAATGCCGTTAGAATAAACATTTTCATTGGTTAGGCCTGCAAATGGGACATAGTACTACCAGGAAGCTACTTTGCGAATCGGGCAGATCGTCCCGATTCGTGGACTCGCAACGGCAAATTTCTAAATCATCGTTGCGCCTCCCCGAATCGAGACGAATTCAGCCGCGATCAGAGAAGGAAATGTGACCAAGCCTTTTTACCAGATTGTAAAAGAAAGATCGCCTGTGACTGGGGTCTTATGTTTAGCAATGATAACAATATATATACATGTACTATGAATAACACTTTTAATCCAGATTATATGACAAGATTGTTATGTTGTTCGGTTCAAGACCGCGCGTATAAATTGCCGATACTTGCCATGGCCAATTTTTTTTTTTATAGCGTTCGAAGAATTGTTTATGTATGACTTGTCATTTTTAAGGTCATAAGCAATGCAATATTCTAACAGCCTTAGAATTTAACGATATTTAAATTCTTGTATTTTACTGCTATTTGTTATTAGTCAAAATCTCTTAAGGGGCTTCTTTAAGCGTCGTTTTTTTAATATCTAGTCACATACTTATGAGACTACCAATGCCATTTTATTATACAAATTAACTCATTTTTGTTGTTGTGACAAATTGTGTTTTGTTCAATCTTTCAATATATATCCATCTTATGAGACACTATCCAAAAGATAGCCGAAAGATAGCCAGATAATTTAGGTAATAGTGACTTCTTGTATGTAGGTCAAAGAAAACCACTTCAATGAAAGTGAAAACATGTCTGAAATCGCTCCCTTCACTCGTGCTGACGTTCATTTTGATGTTCAGAACCTGAAGATTGTTGACTTTCTGTGGATAAAATTAAACTGCATGGGGCATTGATGTCGGCTTGGCTGGGGGGGGGGGGGGTGGCGATTGCCTTACTAGATGGATGGTATGCAATAGTACAAGATGATAGGGTGAGGGGAGAATGCGATGTGCGACAGAGGGTCATGACTATATTCTTTTTTTTCCCCTTCACATTACCATTTATTCCTTGTTAAAAATATCTCTTAATCTCTCTTTTCTTCTCCCCTTTTTATTTTCGTCAATGGGGGCGGTAAGGGGGCATTTCCCCTTGTCCATCCTGTAGCTGCGCCATTTTGATTATTTAACAGAAATTTAAAAGAAATGAAGAAAGAAAAGAAAGAAAGAAAAAAAAACGAAATTGGTTCAAAGACAATTTATTATCAAAGATGTCCTTAAAAGACTTCAGCTTCAATGGCATCGTGTCTACACAAGTGAACAGCAGCCTGCATAATTTATATTTACGATTTCTTAAATTAGAATCACACAGGTCCCGATCATTAATTTGATACACCCAAAACGTTTAATCTCACTTGTAAACAGCATCATTAAATTTTATAGGTTGTGGTAAGGTGTGACAGAAAATTGGAGCAGCTATAGTCATACCCGTAGATTTAGGACAATGGCGCTTGGTTTGTTGCACGCTGGACAGCCCATGTAACTAGACCGATAGCCCAAGAGACCGTCAAGGACTGAACCATAAGAATAGATGTCAGAAGACCCAGCGTGAACATTGACATGTCATTCACATGAAATTGAGCTTTCGGTCTCGTAGGCTATCGGTCGTTTGGGTTGTCGGCCCCGTAGGCTGTTGGTAGTTTGGGTTGTCGGCCTCGTAGGATGTCGGTCGTTTGGGTTGTCGGTCTCGCAGGCTGTTGGTCATATGGGTTGTCGGCCTCGTAGGCTGTTGGTCGTTTGGGTTATCGGCCTCGTAGGCTGTCGGTAATTTGGGTTGTCGGCCTCGTAGGCTGTCGGTCGTTTAGGTTGTCGGCCTCGTAGGCTGTCGGTCGTTTGGGTTGTCGGCCTCGCAGGCTGTTGGTCGTTTGGGTTGTCGGCCACGCAGGCTGTTGGTCGTTTACGGTTGTCGGTCTCATAGGCTGTAGGTCGTTTGGGTTGTCGGCCTCGTAGGATGTTGGCCGCTTGGGTTGTCGGCCTCGCAGGCTGTTGGTCGTTTGGGTTGTCGGTCTCATAGGCTGTCGGTCGTTTGGGTTGTCGGCCTCGTAGGATGTTGGTCGCTTGGGTTGTCGGCCTCGCAGGCTGTTGGTCGTTTGGGTTGTCGGCCACGCAGGCTGTTGGTCGTTTGAGTTGTCGGAATCGTTGGCTGTTCTCATGGGCTGTCGATCTTGTTCGCTGTCGGTTGCGAGGGTTATTAGCGTCATGGACCATCGGTCGCATAGGCTTTTGGACTTGTGTGCTGTTAGTCTCATAGGCTGTTGGCCTTGTGTGCTGTTAGTCGCCTGGGCTGTCGGTCGCATAGGCTTTTGGCCTTGTGTGCTGTTAGTCTCCTGGGCTGTCGGTCCCATATGCCTTGTGTGCTGTTTGTCTCCTTGGTTGTCGGTCTCATAGGCTTTTGGCCTTGTGTGATGTTAGTCTCCTGGGCTGTCGGTCTCATGTGCTTTTGGACTTGTGTGCTGTTAGTCTTCTGGGCTGTCGGTCTCATAGGCTTTTGACCTCGTGTGATGTTAGTCTCCCGGGCTGTAGGTCTCATGGGCTTTTGGCCCAGTTTTGATACTTTAATCATTTTCTGGCCAGTGGTATTTACACTGATTCTATATTAGCTGTTCGGATTCTTCGATCCCCGGCAGAAAGGAAATAACTAGAAATATGAAAGAATACAAATAAGTGACAAAGAAAAAAAGAAGAAAAAAGAAAAGAAGCAGGAGAACAAGAGGAAGAAAAATATATAGAAAACGGCAAAAACATGAAAAGTGAGTCTAAAGTGGTGAAGGGTAAGTTCGATAAGGAGAATGGGAGAAAGGGAGAAATAAAATAAGAAACAGAAAAAAATGAAATAATGAGAGGAACAACATAAACAAGATTCCGAACGAAGCAAGATAAGAGGAAGGAATAATGTAAGTGGTAAAATGAGACCCACAAAATAAACAATTTTAGATACTGAAACTGTTAAGTATGCGGAAAATATTCTCAGCTTGATCGAGTACCAAATAGACTGACGAAAAAATTGTACTAAAAATAAACGATGTAAACATACAACGATTAGTGAATTTGAAACAACATCCGGCCCCGGCCATGCTAATTCATGCTTTAAATTTCTACAAACAAGATCGCTGAAAAACAGGTTCAAACAAGTTACTTTTTAAAGCAGAAAGTACACTTTTCTGTGGTGTCAAATGACAAATATTTACTCACAATTTTAAAAGTTCCCCCTTTTAACAAATAACCTGTTCAAGTCAAGTTTATACGTCGTCATTTCCACGCAGGACAATGGCCAACGGATATTTCCGCTTGCTACATCCTTTCGCCGCGGAGCAAAATATTTACCTCGGTTTAGCTAAATCAAACAAGGAATAATGAAACTCAAGTTTGATGTGTATGGTGAACGGTTATCGAGAGGAAATTACCAATGCCTTTCTATGAATGAAAAGAAAAGATCAAATAAATTAATGTTGGATATTTGCGCAGTGTGGCCTTCATGAAATAAATGGATATTGTTGGGTAAAAGAATACTTAATTGATTGGTTTTGAGTCAGTTAAACTGCTATATTAGGATTTTTCTTTTGGTGGGTTCAAAACTTATCATTATTTTGTAACTAAATAAATGAATAAAAGATAAATGAAGAAACAAGGGGAGAAAATTGAAACATTTGCGGCCACCGTCGCTGTGGCGCCCTTTTATTTTGAGGAGAAATTTAGCCCAGTAGTGAAAAGCATGCACATGAAACCACCCCCTTTATTTTTTTCCTTCCAAATCAAGGATTCGTTAATGGGATAGTCACATTTTTGGGGTCATAATGACAATTCTGAACAGTATATACTCAGCAGGTGTGTGTGTGGGGGGGGGGGGGGGGGTGCAGGGGGGAGGGGGTTCGGCCAATGTCGATAATCTCATTCGGGAAGTATCATTTCTGAAAATATCGGAAATAAAGGCAGTTTTGGTCATCGTCGTCGTCATCATCATCTTCATCATCAAAGTAGCATATTCCTCGACGTCCTCATCTTCTTTTTCGTCATCATCATCATCATCGTCATCTTCAACATCATCCGTCTTCATCATCAATAATAACCATCATCTTCAGTTTTCTCTTTCTCCTCCTCATTATCATCCACATCTTCATGATCCCCATTAATCACTATCGGTATCTTTGTTCTCCTTCTTCTTTTTCATAGTCATATTCATCATCATGATCATCACGATCAACACTACCATCATCATTATCAAAAACCAAAGTAATAATAAAGAACAAATAATGAACCCTGTGAAAGGGGAAAAAAAATAACCAAAGTAATTTGTCATCTTTTATCTTATCTTCTTCCTCCCATCATCATCACCATCATCACTACCATCATGTCCATCATCACCTTTATCTTCATCATCACCATCTCCAGCATCAGAATCATCACCATCACCACCATTATCTTTATCATCTTCTCACCATCATCACAATCATCATCATCACCATTATCTTCATCACCACCATCATCATCACCATCACAACCATCATCACCATCACCACCATTATCTTCAGCATCATTATCATCATCACCACCACCATCATCATCATCATCATCATCACTACCACCACCACCAGCATCACCACCATCATCTCACCACCATCATCATCACCGCCACCACCACCATCATCCTCATTATCATCATCACCACCACCACCATCATCACCATCATCATCATCATCACCATCATCACCACCATTATCTTCATAATCATCACAATCATCACAATCATCAACATCATCATCACAATCGTCATCATCACCACCATTATCATCACCACCAGTATCTTCATCATCACCATCATCACCACCATTATCTTCATCATCATCACCATCACCACCACCAGCAGCATACACGTATGCATCGTTGCCATCAACCCACATCGTCACTTTCAACACTGTCACTTGTCTTTGCCTTATTGAAAATAACTTCCAACATCAACAGATCATTATTTCCTCACACACCGACCAAACTTTCATAACAGAACGCTTATTTTGAAAAGCACACGATCAAACAGAAAGTTTCATAAATACTCAACAGAAATAAATTTAATAAATTAGCATCTTCACAAGGCACGGTGTGATTCAAATTGTTCAAAACATGAAGGAAACAATCACAAAAAACAACAAAGTGAAAATCTCAAATAACCCTTAAAAACACTCATTGTGTGTGTACACTATTTAGTACAAATCCTCAAAATAAAGTACAATTTCAATAAAACTTCTTCTTGTTAAGATAAAGAAATGAACAGTCTTCTTTTTAATAGAACTCTCGGCGTACTTGTGACTCAAAACGAAAACCCGTGTTTTCGCTAGTATCCGACTTGGGATGATTCAATTTTGTAAATGGTCGAATCTATCATTAACACGAGTAAGAACTTGACGTTTTCTTTGATACGCATTTCAAACTGAAGGCGTTGAAAAGAAAAAGGAAGAACGATCAACGTATTTCCGTTGGGTGTACGTAGAATGACGGATGACATGCAGAAATCATGGTCAGAGCGAGCTTAATGAATCCAATTCATTACAAGCCGATATGGTTGCTTCATTCTAGGATTTCATTGTTACGTCATAGACGTCCCAATTAACTTGTTCAGGTTTTCTGCATTCGTAATCCACCTTCGTCATATTATAACTAAGGCTTCGAAAAGCACGCACGACTTTGTCATGTCACGTATTTTTCAACCTTGAACTAGTAATATATTTGTTGTTGTTATGTTCTGTATTTTAGGAGTAAAAAGGAAAACATAAATCCATACAATATTTTTTCCTTCTTTCCAGGCACGAGGGAAACAGGAGAAATTAATTTCATAAAGAGTCTATCAGTTTAAATAAATATCTTTCTTTGACATAGAAACATTAGTGGAATGCATTCAGTTTTTCAGCGGAGGTATACGAGTATATTAATATCTCTGTAAGGAATGAGATATGAGCTGTGACGATGAAAAATTGCACCTAAATCTTGGCCTAAACCACTTCCATATTTTATGAACTATTAAAAGACAAACATAAAACTAAAACATAACAGTAACGTGGCCACTCTACGTTGCAACTGTTTTTCTACAAGTGTGGATATTGATAACATAGTCATCATAATGATATGTGCAAGTACATCAAGATCCGTCCATTTTACTTGGAGGCAAGTGATTAAACTACCCAATAAAGCTCAATTTCTAGAAAATTACTAGTTTGCACACTATTCATATCCGTTCAAGCTGGCCGGTTTATAGTAGCACCAAACATATCGCAACACGGATTCAACTCTCAGAATGAGTTAAATGATAAGTGGGGGGGGGGGGGGGGGTATGGTAGCAAAAGGGCATACAGTATTGGCATGTTAACAAAACAACTTAAGACATGTCAATATATTAATGACATTCAAATATTCCATAACCGAAGCTTTCAGCAAAATAAGAAACATTTGTACACAAAGCTACCCGTTCAACACAATACCATGCAATCAGCACCTTCCTACTCCAAATTCCTACATATTAAGCCATTCACCCCCCCCTTTTTTCCAGGTAACTTTGGTTATGTTTTTGGTATAGCGCCCCCTACTTTGAATGATTGCAATGGACCACGCCCCTCCTTTTTATCTAGTTAAACCTCGAACCTTGAAGGAGGGGCAGCCGGGGGCAATATACGATATTCATTGTAAAGGGTAAATCCCCGGCCCCCCACTCAGAGGTCGGAATGACCGCATGCGTGTTGCCAAAATGTCCGGTAAAGGGGTACTTTTCGTGCGACAAAGTCCGGCCCGAGAATTGTAAAAAAGGGGTGTATTTGACTTTTCACCCGGAGATTTCTTTAAAAAGGGGGTGTTTTTCTTTTTTCTCTCATCTCTTTGGACTCCTGAGAAATTATTCCGAATTTAGGGGGGTACATTGAGTATTTTTCCTGATTTAGGGGGGTCTCCAAGGCAGGAAAAGCACGCGAAAAGCCCGAGAAAGGGGGGTTCGGAAATGTTGGCAGTCCTCAGATAGGGGGTGCTTTCAAAAAAAGGGTACGAGCATATGCGTACCCTAAATAACACTGAGTGGGGGGGCCGGGGGTAAATCACACCCCCCCCCCCTCCCCAACCTCGTAGTCAAATCTGAAATGGCAGAACTATGTAAAATAGGGGATTAAATGTGATTATGTAAACCAGCAGTTTGGCCCGGAGATTGTTATGGCATTACGAGTTGTAGACATAGTTGTTAAATGGCAAGTTATGGAACACATTTCGTTTAAAAATGGAGAATTCGTTGTCTCTTCCTTCTCAAGACATATAAAATAAAATCTGCATGAGGTTTCCTGAAGTTCCTGAACGTTACGAAGATTTGCTTAGACGAGGAAGTTCATTCTAAGATAACCTGTTTCTAGCTAGATTGTCTCTAGAATTAAAGTTATTCTACTTGCTGCATTTTTGGTACTGTTAATTCAGTGCTGCTCAGTCACTTTTCAGCCATTTCTCTTCCAACTCTGGCAAGATAATAGAACAATTCTTTTTGCAATAAATTATCTGGGTTAAATACAACTGTACAGCGACGGTTTCTTGTTTTTGGTCACCAACCGTCCGATGACGGGATCTTAGGTTCTATGATTTAGAGGATGCTTCAGTCACTACTTGAAGAGATGCACCCGGACTCCTCGTGCTTGTTGAGGAGTGACATCCTGGAGAATGTCTTCCCGCAGGACTTGCAGCTGTACTTCTTGACTTCAGAGTGGGTTTGGAGATGTGCGCGGAGGTTGGAACGGTCGGCGAACGCTCTTTGGCAGTGCGGGCAAGAGAAGGGCTTCTCGCCGGTATGAGTGCGAATGTGGCCCTGAAGCAACCACGGTCGGGAGAAAGCCTTCCCGCAGAACTTGCACTTGCAAGGCAGGGTATGTGTCCTGATGTGCATTTTGAGGGCTCCAAGGGACATGTATTCCTTGTCGCAGTATTTGCAGTTGAAGGTTTTCTTGTTCTGCGCGTCGCAGTGCAGCTGCCTGTGCTTGCTCAACCCGCCGAACGTCGAGTACTCCTTCCCGCAGTCGGGGCAGTGGTACTTCGTGCTGTCTTCGCCGTTTTTGTTGCTGCGTCGCTTTTTGATCTCCTTCTCGGGTTTCGCCGCTGCGGTAGCGGTAGGCGTAGCCGCCGCGGGCGTCGACGCCTGAAGATGCTGCTGGCGGTGGTGAGGATGAGGGTGGTGATGGTGGTGGTGGTGGTGAGGGTGTTGGTTCGGAGACAGCGACGTGATCATGCGGTTCTCGTCGTCAATAATCGGCGTCGGGGTGAGGAGATGATGCAGCGACGGTTGTGGGAGGTGGGCGTGGAGAGGTTGGGAGAACGGTGGAGGAGGGCTGTACCCCTTGTGGATGTGCGGGAAGGTGTCGGCTTCGAACGGTGACGTTGCGGCGCTGTAGATCACATTCGGATGGTGTCGCCAGTAGGCCGATGGGTTGGGAATGGCCTGGAGAGGCTCGGGTTTGTGGATAACTGGATGCGGAATGTTGACGGGGGCTGCTACCGCCATTTCGGGGTAGCTTGCCACTAGCATGATACCTGCGTCGTATGCTGTATAGACAAAACAAACAAAGAAAAATAATGAATAAGTGGAAACATAAACAAAACAATGTCCTAACAACGAAACACAACAAAATAGTTATTATGCTATGAACTCAAGTGACTTGTTTGCGAATAGCTAAATAGTCTACATAGACGATCAAAAGTCTCAATTAAAGTTAATCCATTACTTTTCAAGCTATTGCCTTTATCCTCATGTAATATTCACTTTGGGCGTCGTAATTATGTTTTCTCGAATCCCCCACGTCCAACGAACCATTCTGATCATACTTAAGCCCAAGAAATTGAGGGAAAGGCCCTTTATATTTTAGATTAAAAAAAATGATGTCTTTTAAGTTCTTGACGCATCACGATTAGATATTTCGATATTTCTTAAAAGAAACATAATAACAAACAGATCAAAATACACATGACAGACTGTAAATTCCACAAAGATATTGTTGAATGAGTTGAGCTGGTATTCAAGTTAAATTTGGAATCTACAAGTACAAAGAATGCAGAAACTGTAGGCAAAATAATACAAAATAGCAAGATAGTATTATGATTATTAGTGCCTTGTAGGAGAAATATTTGAATATTTAGTTCTGGGTGCTTTTGATGCATTTCATTCGGAGCAAAGAAATTATAAATTTGCAAATAAGGCCGACTTAAGCAAACAGTTAACAATTTCATTAGAACAAACAGTTCACATTTAAATAAAACAACCACAATTAAAAACTTTTGAGATACGGATCGTTTAATGTTTGACCTGATGAAATTATATTCAATTTAAATACAGTCTTTACAAAAAAGGACCGGATTGGCATTGCTAACATAACAACCATTTCATTAGGAGATAGACCTCTAGATCTGAAATGTTAGGCCACATTTACAAATCTCCGTTTACAATCACCAAACGTTTCTTCTTCTGAAAGACTTCAATTTGTGCACAACACATTAGAAGTAACACATTAGATTCATTTAGACTAGATCTATATTAAATAAAAGTTGACATCTTCATGTAGAGTTAGGTCTGGGCTAGGACCTAGTCCGCGAATTGGACTAGACCAACACTCAACAGGTGGTAAAGCATTACTTTAAAGCACTGTTGCACCTGTGCGCAACATGAATTTCAAATGGTCCCTAGTCAATCAAACTTCAGAGAAACTTGGTCTATTATTTCCACCAAATCCTCATTTTTGTAACAACATTTTCAAAGACAATTAACGACATTGAGAATGAACATCTCAAGCAAATGAATGCAATGACCATGATAACTTAGCCAATCCAATTCTGTTAAAATCTGATTCAATTTCCTGCCAGAAATTTATCTAAAAAAAGACTTTCTAAAACTTTTTTTTTTTAAACTAAATGTTATGAAAATCTCACCTGTGGTAGCAATGCCATGTTGCAACTTCTTCAGCCCCGAAGCGGCTTGCTTTGCGTTCTTTTTGACGAGAAAAGACCTCGGCATCTTGTTGGTAAAATATCTCCAATTGTGACAATGAATTATTAAAATCCGGTACAGCTCTGACCAAGTTCAGAACAATTAATGAAGTTAGTTGTCCGCTGAGAGTTCCTTTCTAAGTCAATAACTTCCTTTCTCAATTATACGGTAGTGCACGCTTACTGCCACTCAACAAGTGTATGAGCTCGAGTTATAAATATCGCCAATCTTTATACATGTATGATCTATGCATATATGCGTGCATATTATCGACAAGTGTGCGTACACGTATATTATAGTATGCGAGGTTGTATGCTGTAGGCTTTATGGTAATTAGTGGCGAGGTGTAAGCAGCCAATCAGAAGCGCACGAGCTAACTCATTGAAGGGTTTTTGACCAATCAGCGAGCGAGTTTACTGGAGTTTGCTATAATGTCAGTGCAGTCCAATCGGACGAGCGCTGGCTTATGTACGCACTAGTGGCAGGTGTGTGCAAGTGATTATCGTAGTCTTTCCGAATTTCTGCACACTGAATTTACACATGACCGACTATGATGAAAAGGGATACGGGCAAAAAGCAACGAGAGGGGGAAACGTACATCTCAATTTTCTGCTGTAAAGTGCCATAAACAGGATGAACAGAATCAAACTATTCTTACATCTAATACCCAGGCAGCCACATGACATCAACATAGTGACACTCACTTTTTTGTAAAGGGTGTGGGCAGTTCACTTTTAATAGTTTTCTCGCCAGCTGCCAAACAGCGAGCTCAGCTAGGGAGTAATTAAAACGCTTTCATGGCAATTTAGTTTAAAATAAAATTTGACAGTGTAGAATTTGCCAAGGGTTCTAAGCAGGTGACTTGTCAATGTTGGCAGTTTAACCAAGCTCGATTAATCACCTTGTATCTCAAAATATCTACCGAAGTTGGCAAATTATGCCCTATTATTTACAGTTTCAGCTATTTCAATAACTTATACAAACTGAACAGTCGAACAAAATATCGGTGCAAAAGTGCCACGGAGACAAATTAATCAGCTAAAGACTATTGGAATGTGAGAAACGATTTAACGATTGCCTAAATCTTGTCGAATTTGTCAAAATGAGAAGAAAGTGACACCCATTATAGGCGATGATAGATCTATGCAAAATTCTTTCTTACCAATATTTAAAAAAAAATTGTATTTGCCTATTTAGTTAAAGAAACATTGCTCTTTTCCATGAAACCGTACCTTATAAATGTTGTACTTGTAATACTGAAGGATCTATACACAAACGGTCTTTCGGCCTATACTGTCTTTGTCATTGTCATCAGGGACCTATGACTATAAGTTTCCCTCGAATAGGGCGTAAAATCATTATTTTATCGTTCACAATAAGGACGATATAAGTAATGTAACTAATTTGACCTTTCATAGTACAGAGCCTTGCGCTTTTTTGCAAAGAGAATGAAATCTACGAGCAGCCACAAACATTCTGAAATGTACATTCTAACTTGTATATTACGCGCATGTTCGCAATAGTTTGAAGTTAATTTCAAGACTTCTTGATTGCTGGACCACAGAAATGTACCATGTGTCACAAATACCTGTTGCCACACTGATAGTTCGCCCCCAAAGAACAATGACCCTGGCAATGTACTTTAGTTTTCACCGATATACCTCTAGGAGTCTTTTAAATTGTCATCAGATATTTTTGAGAAATTCCATACTTCGCCTTCACCGCACGATATCAAGAAAATCTGTGAACAGAATATCGTGTCAGTTATACATGCAGCCTTGAATATTCTGTTGTGCCAGTACTTTTCTTGATTGCTGTTTACAAATCTAAGTATTGTCTTTTCCAAAAATACGGGGGAAGGACAAGGAATTACATGTTAAATAAACATGCCAATCAAAAGACCTCTACAACAACAAAACTTGTGCGCGATATCTCCATTAAACAAATAGTAATTAGGCCTACGCCATTAGATTTATATGCGAACAGAATTTAAAGCCCATGATAAGTCAATATGCCAGATATCTTTTGAAAAGCGAAGATACTCCCAAATTCACAAATATTTCTTTTTCCTGCTGAAGCAAAGTAGACACATAATGAGGTGGACAAAAGGCCTGACATTTACTAATCTACTCGTATACTACTTCCGCCCCCCTTTTTTTTTGGGGGGGGGGGGCTTTACCATTTATGTTGTTTTAATGACACTTGCAATTAAAATTCCAGGATAAATACTTTTAGTGGCTTTGCACGGGTCCAGTCATTGGGGGTCACATAATTCATGGTGTGAGAGAGATTTTTTTATTTTATTTCATTCATCAACAACAAAAATCCTTTGGGGGGGGGCGGCAACGGTCTTACTCGGTGATAAAATGAGAGAAAATTTGGAGGGGTTGTATCATTGTGCTAAAGCTCGGGTTCCTTAACTTTCCAATTGGGGTGTCAAGACGTTCAAATCACAATCCTGTCATCCAATAAGAATCTGATGTGCGTGGTTAAAATATTTTTAATTCAAATCTCAATTTTTACACTCGTCTGTTCTTGTTGACTCACAACAACTTCGCCCTCATCACAATTATTGTTTTATAGCTTCTTTCCACATTGCCTTTCCCGTTTCTCTGCTTTTTCTCTTGATCTCTTTCCATTGAATGTCCTTATTTTGCTATTAGATGGGGTGGGAGGGGGCGTCCCCCTTACCCTCCCGTCCGTATATACGACACTCAAAACTCACATCCCTCCCTGATAGGTTTAAACTTTACAATTAATATATTTCCATAATCTTTATCAATACCTTTCAAATTCATCTTTGAATTCATAAGAAAAAATTAGGTCAACGAACCTTTTTTCCTTATTGATTTTGGGGGTTGAAGGAAGGGAATTTCGAAATGTTTGGAACCGGGACCTATCAAAGCCAGTTGTTCTGTCCATCAAACTTCTCTGGTCTCGGTCGCATGCGTGCATGGAGGCAGGCTTGTGTTTTGATCGTCACACACCACTGATCTGCTTGCAACACACATTCTTTCACCATGCGTTAGCTCTCAGGTTACCGAATCAACATTGACTCATCACAAAGATATGAAAAATGAAACAAAACTATATCCCTACAGGTGAAATGGTCGCATGCAGGAGTGATGCTGGCAGATTTACGACAGGGTTCCATCACTTTCATCACTTTCATCGTCATTGTTTTAGCTGCGCTCGCACCTTTCAGCTAGTGACTTGTTCATCCAGGGATGCCCCTCTCGATGGGAGGGCGGGCGGGTGGCCGCGGGGAGTCGTTGACATACCGTTGCGATGATTGTGGGGCTTCTCGCAGATAGGGATTCGGTTTCGGATCTTCTGTTGGCTTTTGAGGACTTCATTCCCAGATTTTTCCCTTTCAGATTTTTTTTGTTTTTTTTTTTTTGAACAACTATGTTGGAATTGCAGAGTTCAGTGTCATCGTTAATTCGGAGAATATTTTTTGAAAACTTGCACGCACTTTTAGAGAACAAGCTGGAAAGAGATTTGATATTGTAGTCGGTTGCCACCCTTCAGGCTTGAGTTTCTATGGCAACTGACAGGTCATTCAACCTGATTCCCACACACCCATCAATAATTATTGTCTATATACTACCCCCCCCCCCCCCCCAATCAACTTCAAAGTCGATGTTGTTGTTACTAGCCCCTTCCACGCCTCTATACATGCATGACTCATTTTTGCATTTTTCAATGTTATTAACAAAATTCATACAACATAATTAATCTTTGGTGACCGAAATTTCAAAAGAACTCAACATGAAACTAATTGATTTGGAAAGGCATTTTGGATTATGAGGTTAAGGCAATAGATCGTTAGAAAGGTTAACGATTCTTAGACTAGTAAGTTGTATAAAAATAATCACTCAGTTATTTTGTAAACACCAGTATTGAAATCAGATAGCATCATGGATCATGCTCTAAATTTCCCCACCTTATATATTCTTGCTTTCTCACTCCCCTCTTTTCTATCCCCGCCCTCCCCCTCTCTCTCTACATGACTATGTATCATTGGCCCATAAATTTTGAATTTGAATTTTGTGCCAATTATTTCTCCCCATATCTCTCCGTATCTCCATCTCTCTCTTTCTCCCCCTCCCTCCTTCTCCCCTCTCCCGCTTTCAATGTTATCTCTATCTCTCTCTCTCTCTCCCCCTCTCTTTCTCTCTTTCTCTATCTCTCTCTCTTTCCCATTTCCACTTCAATTTGCTCTCTCTCCCCATATCTTTCTTTCTTATACCAGTCACACCAAGGAGACCGGCATCAGACCGACTACAGACCGAACATGACATCTCCAATGGAAGAAGAACAAATCGGTCGATTTAAAGTCGGCCTGGAGTCGGTTTGCATGGCGGTATGTATGAGCTATCAAAAACCATTAATCATATTAATATCAGCATGACTATTCCCTTCTGCCTAACCCTTCCATTGTGAGCCCGTCACTTGCACCCTACCCGGGATGATCGGCAATGCTCATCATGATGGCCCGGAGCAGCAGCGGCTCTAATTTCATGGGCGTGACTCGCACCTTTCACTCATGATCGCTCGATTAATAATGCTCCAAATCCTTCAAATCTATCCCAAAATTAGCGCCTGTCACATAATCCCCTGCCGTCACCCCCTTCCTCCCCTGTTGTCGGATAGAGCCATCCATTATTCTCGCCCCTCCTATTATTTTTTTTATCTCGTTTAATAAATTGAACCCATGTCATATTTTCGCGTGATGGGGTTTAGTGGTTTTGACAGCCGAGCATGTCAAGTGGTGCAATACACGTCACCCTTACTAAACCGCCCAGAGGCTGATGATGAAATCATATTTTACCGTAGAACCCGGTTGCCCTCACCTGCCCCCCCCCCCCCCACTCTCCCCCACTGCCTATCCGCAAAGTTGTACCTCTTAGTCCTAAGCATGACGTTTCTACCTCTCTTCCCCTCCTGGTATATAGCTCCCTCTCTCTCTCTCTCCCTTTCTTCTGTCATTCCTTTTCCCTCTCCCCCTCTTCATTACTCTCTCTTTCACCCCCTCCTTCCGTTCAGCGAAGGATCCAAGATCCGTCCACTCTCTCTCTCTCTCTCTCTCTCTCTCTGTGGTGAGGGGGGGGGGGAGGGAGAAAAAAATGATGGTCAAGAAAAAAAGGCCGGTCTCGCATTATTACAAACTTTATTACAGTCT